TTTTTTGCTATTTTGAGCTGTTCTTGTAATTTGTGGCCGGTTTTCTCCTTTGCTTAGCCAAACCTTGTTGGCATCTTTAGATGAGACTGTAAAAAAATGAAGCCATGTTTCATCTCCAGTAATAATATTTTGAAACCCATTTTCAAGGTACCCCAACAATTGCTTTGAAACCTCAACTCGTTTTTGCTTGTTTTCATTAGTAAGAGTGTGAGGAACCCATTTTGCACACACCTTCCTGACAGAAATTTCTTCATGTAAGATGGTTTCAATGCTTCCAGTTGAAATGGGAACCACTTTCTGAATATTATCAATTGTAATATGGGGGTAGTCATTTATAAGGTCTTCAATGATATTAATGTTTGAAGGTGTGACAGCATCACAGGATGTCCAGAATGAGGGACATCTTCAATGCTTAATTGTCCAGCTTCAAATGCCTCAATCCAGTGGTAAATTGTACGTTTGGATAGTGCCTTGTCCCCTTCAGCAGTGACCAACTCCCTATGGATATCAGTAGCATCTTTACCATTCTTCCAGCATACCCAGATGTAGTATCATTGGTTTTCACATGTAGTATTTTCCATTATTGTTAATAGGCAATATTGAAAAAATTATTTCTTCACAATTGTCAAATCAAGTTGTGCCAAATTTTCTATTACTTATTGGATGTTACCCAAGCTATGATTATTCTCAAAATGGGAAACATTTGAGGATCATCAAGATAATTGCACAGTGTCAAAACTTTTTGAACCCCCCACATAATATTGATAATAACATTCATAATAACATATAACAACTGAATAATTACTCCACTCCCATTGTTAATTAAATAAACACATTTTACCTTATTATGAATTTTTGCATAGTTAAGAGGAAAAACCATTGTGAATTGCTTCATTATCCTCTCTGATGGTTAGTGACAAACAAGATCAGAAAAGGAAAAAACAAGAAAATGCTTATGGTGCAAAGAAAGGGTAAGTGCTCTTTATTATTTGATTTCTCATATGTTTGTGATTATACTTATATCTAACACCCCAATCGAAGATGAAAAAATGACTCCATAGCAAAAAGCATTACAATGATACAGTGCCTTGAGAATCATTGACTTAAGTTTGTTGATGAAAGATTATTTTACTGAAGATGAACAAAAAAAAATTGAAATGTTCAATAAATATCAATGAATCTAAAACCTCCAATAATAACTTCATTATGAATATTGAAAAAATAGATGCATTACTTTGTTTCCATCTTTCCTATTCAGCTAGTGTTCCATGCCACAATCCAAAAAAAGGAAACAAAATGATTGTAAAGGAAGTTGCAATCACTTTTATATGACGCAAAGATGGTATCAACCGTCATCAAAAGCTGCAACTGGTATCCTTACATTCATCCTATAGTTGGCTCAGTCTAAAGACCTCCAGCATAGTGGAAATTTGAAAATGTTACACTAATTTTTTATATTGTGCAACGTAGCTTTACAACACACGGCAAACATT